GAAAATGGGGGGGGGGGGGGGGGGTATAGGGGGGGGGTGATATGTAGTCAAAACAGCATTATTTTCTCGGAGAGTCAAGGCCACAGTGCCCTACAGCTGCAATGAGGTGACTGGGAGGCATCTCCAGTTTTGGATGGTGCCTGATTGGACCATGTGATGGACATGTGGGTGTCGGGCAGGGACTTGGATTTTCCTTTGGATGGGAAAAACCTGGAAGCTTTCAAATTTGGGTTTTCCCAGATGTGCCAATAGGACATTTCTAATAAAATGGAACTTTGAGGAAACTCAAGCCGCGGAGTTTTCTTTTGTTGGGAGTGTTACTTGGAAGCTTGACATTAACTGGAATCCCCTTTAACAATACTACCAGCTCCCATGAAATGTGGAGTGCTGTCCAGGGTCCTGAGCCCCAGCATTGACAAAGTCATTACAATGACCTTTTGCCAGGATCTGAATATTTTTGAATGCATTAGAATACCAATCATTGTCTTGCTTAGCATCACAGAGGGAGCAAAATCTGTAGAATAGCTTGTTTATAGGCACTGCCATTGACAATGAATTGCTGTCATTAACATGTCCTTGAAATATTTGGCTGTGCCTCCCTCCTTCTCCTACACAGCTTCGCAACAGATCTTTGCGTTCTCCAAGCTTCTGTTATGGCAGCTAGATTGTATTTTTCTTCCTAATGCCTGCTTGTGTGCGTGTGTGTGTGTGGGTTTTTTTTTTTTTTTTGGTTATCCTTGAAGAAAGAATAGGCCACCCTTCAAAACCATGGTTTATAGAAATTTTGTTACTTTTGTCATGCAAAAGTAAATGAGGCCATTCATCCATATCTCTTGAATGCACCTTCGGTTCTTAGAAATAATCATCTTGTACACTGCTGTTGTGTACATACTCCAAACAGTACACTTGTCAAATATAGCAATAATCCTAAATGATACAGTGTTCCGGAAACAAAGGCTGAAAGTATTTTAATGGCATTGCTCATTACCCAATGAATATTAATTACAGCAGAATCTACAGCTGATTGGCTTTATGTAGCAAGAGAGGTTATATTTCACCTGCAATGTCAAAAGTGGGTCGAGAAAATGCTGATACCAAGTTGTATCGGAGAATGGCTCTATCCCGCAAACGATTCTATCCGGAGAAAAGTTCTCCGCAAGAAAGCTACGTGCCTGTTTTGCAAGTTGTAGAAGAAGCCTGGGGGGTGGAGTCAAGAGAGGAATTAGCCTGGAGTCATTACATTCTCACAAACAGTCCAAGTTTAGCCCCTTTTGATTTCCGTTGACTCTTATCTAGTGCCAATTTAGTGCTGACCGTGACATAGACATGAGCAATAAATCAGCTGGAACTTAATGCATGGTCCTGATTCTTCACACCTGACACAAATTACACAATTCTTCATTTGTGTTGTGGCCCACCAGCAGATCTGGCAGCAGATTCGGACAGTGAGGAGGTTGGGGAGGAACATGGGCCAGTCCTGGAGTCTGGGGAAGGCTCTGATGAGGGCTCTGCATCGGAGGCAGAGAGGGGGCCAGGGCCGTATGCCAGTTATCAGCTGCCTTCAGAGTCAGACATCAGTGAGGCAAAGGAACAGCTGGAGCCCGTTCCCAGTGTGCGCATGCGCAGAGTTGCCAGACGAAAGGAACAGCTAAAGAACAAGGGTTGACTTGGGAGTAAGGCCACAGGTGGATGATGAATGGCCCCTCCCAGAGGGAATAAAAGAGGAGCGAAAGGTGAGTGGAGTTTGCAGGAGACAATTAGTTCATTCCTGCATTCTTGCCAAGTATTGCGGCATCTGAAAGATATCGGCCTGGCCACTCTCCAAGCCTGACAAAGGTCGGTAATTGTGAACTGGAATTCACTGTAAATTAAATAAAAGGGGTTTATCGGGATAGGACTCGGCTTCGTGCTGCTGGGGAAGTCTACGTCAGAACAATTTGGACATGGATGTACAATAACATCATTTCCTATTCCCAGTCTTGAGTTTAAAAGATATCTCCCCCTGGAATGACAAGGCATCACGTAACACTCTGAGTCAGGTGCTTAGCTTCAGTTTAGTTGAGAGAATGTTGTGGTTTCACCTGTTGAAGCATAACACCTGGTTTTCCTAAGAGTTTGCTAAGAGTTTCCACTTACTTGGAAGACTCCTCCAATGAATCCTTTCCCCTTTCTTCTGCTCAATAGGAGGTGATTGCAGAGGTACTACAAGGCAGCTGTCAGCCGAAAATTAGTCTTATTCTTCATTCAGTTGACAGATTAAAGCCATCTAAGTTGGTGTCCATCATCACTACACGCCGCCAGCCTATTCAAAACTTTAATTATAATTTGTATCCATTTGTTTATCCTGGATCTCAACCCTTTAACTTCATGGAATGATGTTGAGTTCAATGTCATAAGGAAGGGAGAAAAACTCATCTGTCTCCACTTTCCTACCATAAAAAAATGTATAGATCTTTGCCCACCTATTTGTAGTTATCTAACATTTTCTAAAGATATGATATATCTCAACTCCCTCAATCCCAAGATCCAATTGGCAAGAAAACGGGGCAAAACTCACTTAACGACTGTTTTGCTTAGCAACAGAAATGTTGGACTCAGTTGTGGTCATAAATTGGGAACTGCCTGTATAGGCATTTAGACAGCAAGGATGAATGAATATCTACAAGCAATTCTTGTGCCTCGGATCAATATGATATATCGACTTCCTGACGTTATGTGTTACTGCTGCAACCCTTTGCAACCCATTGTCAGCTTTTGAACAGCTGCTAATTAGGTTACTTTTGTCAGAGGCAAAGAACCAAAGTCACGATGATGATGGATGATGATGATGATGATGATGATGATGATGATGATGATGATGATAGAGGATGATGATGATGATGATAGAGGATGATGATGATGATGACTGGGTCGTCTTTCTTTTTAACCTTTTCAAAGAAATGCACTTAAAATTTCTATTAGCATCTGGAAGCAGGCAAGAATGCTGGGATTTTGACTTTGAGAAGTTCATTTGCTTGGCAACAAGGAGCTATAATTAAAACAACACTATAAACAGTAATCTATCATTTAATCCATGAGGGCTCCTTCCACTATTTGGAGAACACAGCAATAAACCCCAGCAGTAGTACTTAACAGAGGAAAATTCAATTAGTAATTTTATTTTATTATTCCATCCTTCCTTCTTTCCTTCCTTCTTCCCTCCCTCCTTCCTTCCCTCCCTCCCTCCCTCCCTTCCTTCCTGGTAGAAGAGTGGGAAAATATTGAAGGCCCCCATCTAAAAAAATGAAAGACTCTAGATAAGAAAGGGAGACTTCAGCATGAACCTCTTCATATGCCCATAGGATTTTCTTTTACTTTATTTTTTTACTCCTCACTACATGCATTAAAGCTTTTTTCCCTGTAGGATCCAGTGAGATGGCTGTTTATACACACACAAAACCTGTAGGAAAAGTTGCCCAGTTTCAATTTGCAAACAGGTAAAAAGTGAAAGCTAAACAGGCTTTATTTGTGAAGAAATCTTGTTCTGTTGTGACCTTGCTCCCAGCAAATGCATTGTTCATGCCTGAATGACATTTTCTGACAAAATCAGCATACAATCATGAACCATTTATCAGAAGTTCAGCTGAAGGAGATACATTCACAATGAGCCCTGACGGGGTCACTTTGAAAATACATTCTGGCATTTCATAGCAGGAATGTGAAAAGGTCCAATCCGTAAACCTTGATTTAAACCAATTTAGTTTGGTTGAAAGAAGCTTGAATCAGAGGGATGTACAGCGATGTGCAGTGGTTAGTTAGGTAGGTCATGATGAAAGCTCCCATACTAAAGTTAGTCAAACTGGCTGCTCTAATATTATCCTTATATGTTCTTCTCAGTTGGTAACCATGTACTATTCTTGGTTGCTTTAATTTCAGTAGAAAGGGAGGAACTGGCTCACATTCAGCCAATGAGCTTCCGTACCTGGGGTGGGGACTGGAATCCAAATTTCCCTGTCCTTAGTCCAACCCTTCTCTATTAGATTATACTTGATTGGATCTTGGAATAAGAGGGAGGGACTGGCCCAGAGTCAGCCAATCAGCTAACGGGGGAGGGGGGAGGGAGCAATCTAGAACCTGCAAGTCCAAATGTACAGATCTCCACAGATCCTCAACGCATGGGGAAACTGAGGCTACAATCCCATACCTGTGGCCAGGGGGGCTTTTTATCAGGTTCGCCTGATCCGCCAGTTGTGTCCCTTTCTGGACTGGGATGCCTTACGCATGGTCACTCAAGCCCTCGTCATGTCCCGCCTGGACTACTGCAACGCTCTCTACATGGGGCTCCCCTTGAGGAGCACCCGGAGCTCCCAACTGGTCTAGAATGCGGCCGCGCGGGTGATGATGGAGGCGACTCAGCGCTCCCATGTAACACCTCTCCTGCGCAAGCTGCACTGGCTCCCAGTGGTCTTCCAGGTGCGCTTTAAGGTATTGGCTACCATCTTTAGAGCGCTCCATGGTTTAGGACCTGGGTATTTACGAGACCGCCTTCTGCTGCCAGTAGCCTCCCACCGACCACACAGAGAGGGGCTCCTCAGGGTGCCGTCGGCCAAACAATGTCGGTTGGCGGCCCCCAGGGGGAGAGCCTTCTCTATGGGGGCACTGACCCTCTGGAACGAGTTGCCCCCGGAGATACGGCGGATCCCGGATCTGCGCACTTTCCGCCGTGCCTTAAAGACGTTTTTGTTTCACCAAGCCGGGCTGACCTGACCTAACTTTTTAAAATTGTTTTAAATTTTAAATTGTTAAATTATGGGTTTAATATAGGGGTGTTTTAACTGTGGACCAAATTAATTTAATTGAATTTTAATATTGTTTTAAATTTTTGTATTTTGTGTATTTTATCTGCTGGCTGTTCACCGCCCCAAGTCCTTCGGGAGAGGGCAGTATACAAATATAATATAATAATAATAATAATAATAATAATAATAATAATAATAATAATAATAATAGTACCACCTCTCCTGGGATGCTACAGTTTGGGGAGGGCTGTGCAAGTACTGCTTAAAGCGGAGCTCAAAGGCCTGCCCGACGGTGTTGATGATGCTTTGCGCCAATCCGTCACAGCATTCCAAGATGTGGCAAGCTGCCAAAGAGAAAGAGAAGATCCCCAACCAGAAATTAAACATATGTCAGGTTCGATACTATCTCAAAATAAATGAATTTCCAAACTGCCGATCTTTGAGGAAATTTTCTCTTTATTGAGCATAGTGATCTGTCCCTGGCTCTTTTGCGGTCAGCACTGACCTTTGCCCCCCAATCCCTCCCTTTCCGATCCCCAGTTCTCTGTGTCTCATTGGCTATCTTCCAAGCCACTCTCCTCATCCCATCTCCGTCAGATCACAGGAATGTCCCCCCCTCCTCCCATCTCCGAGGAAACAGAATCTTCAAAGGAATTAAGTAGGCAAAAGTTCAAGCTTCTCCTCTCTTTTCATATGTCAGCGCTGGAACGCTGACAACATAATTTTCGCCGCCCCCACCCAAACAGATACACAAGAAGACACAAATAGGAGCGGATGCAGCTGCAGAAACAGCCAATGCAATCTTAGGCTGGGTTAACGGGGCCAATAAGGCCTGTCAATGGCAGAACTCTGAAAGTAGGACATGCCTGGAGAAGTGAAAGTGAAAGTGAAAGTGAAAATCAAAAGTGAAAGTGAAAGCAGGGGGAATGAAAGAATAAAACTGAGGTTTTCACTTGGATAACATTCACATTCTTTTCCCTGGTTCTTTCATGGCCACCACTCACTGGCATATCGTACAGGTAGTCCACGTTTAATGAACAGCTTTTTAGCAAGCGTTCAAACTTACGACGGGCTCCAAAAAAAGTCCTTACGACTCGATTTCAAAGTTCTGATGGCCACACCCTCTGTCACACTAATGTGATTGCAATTTGCGCTCTTGGCAACCGGCTCGCATTTACAGCTGCCTGCGGCATCCTGCTGTCATTTGACTGCGATTTTGGGGAGGTTTTGGTAGTTTCTAATCTTTTACTTCTAGTTGCCATAAAAAAAAATGCCCACTGGTATAAAGGATTTGTTTAATGACTAGTGGAATTGTTTAACGACCACCACAAAAAGGTCATAACATTAGGTACTGTCACGTGATGTCCCACTTAATGACTGTCACCATTTACTGTCTATGGAGATTCTCAGTCATCCAAGTCATGGTTGTCCCAAAGGTGCTTTTTCAAGAGGCAACTGGACTTTTTTTGTTTTTTATGAAGTGAACTTCATAAAGTTCATCCTATTAAATAATTGGATGAATTTCATAAAGTTCATCCAATTAACCAATGGAATGTTTTGCCTTTAGAAGTTGTGGGTGCTCCATGTGAGAAGGGGATGGCTCCATGTGAGCAGCAGGCAAACACGCACGCATGTGATTGTCCACTATTCATGCAAACGAGGATCAGAAATGATATTCAGCAGCTTCTGACAAGTTCTGGAGAACCGGTAGCAGAAATTTTGAGTAGTTTGAGAACCGGTAAATACCACCCCTGACTGGCCCTGTCCCCATCTATTCTCTGCCTCCCGAGTCCCAGCTGATCGGGAGGAAATGGGGATTTTGCAGTAATCTTCCCCTGGAGTGGCTGGGAATGGAGATTTTACAGTATCCTTCCCCTGGAGTGGGGTGGGAATGGAGATTTTACAGTATCCTTCCCCTGCCACGCCCACCAAGCCATGCCCACCAAGCCACACCCACAGAACCCCAGAAATTTGTTAAAAAAAATTAATCCCACCACTGGCGTGGATGTGCGCACCCACATGGACTCACTTGCCCACCTCTTCCACAGCCCGTTCCGAATAGTTCAAGCAGCCCAGGGGTTAGGGATCCCTGGTTAAATTAATCATGTAGTCGTTAAATGAATCTCATTCGCCCCCCCCCCCATTGCTTGTTGGAAGCCAGCTAGGAAAGTCTCAAATGGGGATCACATGACCTCAGGATACTGCAACCATCATATAAATACATTCAATTGCCAAGTGCCACATGCCCAATTTTTGATCACGCGACCAAAGGGATGCTATCCATAGTTGTAAAGTCACTTTTTTTCAGTGCAGTTGTAACTTCGAAGAGTCGCTAAATGAATGGTGGTAAGTCGAGGAGTATATACACAAAATGCACGGATATATCAGCTATGGAAAAAAAACTGCTGACGCCTGGTGCATGCATTACTCTGTACACAAAGATGAAACATAGCATAATTTTTAAATATCACCTTTCGCAAGCTCCTGTACCACGCCATTGGCGATAGCTTTTAAAAAGGGGCATGCCATTTCTCTAATCACACTCACCTCGCTGGTTGATGGGATCCTTGGCAACATAAGCGACGTAATCGGTTGTATCCTGGCCAGAAATATAATTCAGAAACAAGAGAGTTAATGTTGAGGCTGCTGAGGCTGAGAAGCAGGACTTATAGCGGGAGGAATGAAGAGGAAGAGGAGTTAAGATAAATTTAGCCTGGATATGTTATGGCCATGTTCATTGGCATTCCACAACCTCCAAATGTGCCGGATTACAGTTCCCATAATCCCCTGTCAAGGGGGTTCAGATTTTTTTCTTTTAATTTAAATTTAACGTTAGAATGCAGAGCTGGGCCAAGGATGGGAAAGATATTAGCAGTGCACCAGTTTGTGAATAGATTGACATTTCTTCACAGGAGGATTTAAAAGGAAGTTGGAAGGCCTCTGAGGGAGATGTGGTAACCCTGGGTGAGGGGTTGGACTAGATGACCTCTGGGGACCCCTTCCAACCTTTTCATTCTAGGATTCCATAAAAGAATAAATTAGCCAAAGTTATGGGTTATTAACCTTGCTTAGCATGCTGTGGGAATGCATCTGCCAGATCTTCATTGACTTGGTTAACAGTGGACTGGAATAATGTCACTCAATCCTTCATGACAGTGTTTCTCAAAGCTTGGCAGCTTGAAGACTTGGGGACTTCAGTTCCCAGAATTCCCTAATTAGTTATGCTGGCTGGGGGATTCTGGGAGTTGAAGTCCACAGGCCTTCAAGCTCACAAAATTGAAAAACACCAAATGAAGCAATACAGAAAATTGTAACTCTTTAGTGCCATCTCCTGGGTGCGTGAATGTTGCAACCCAAATAGAATAATGTATACAATGAAGGGATGTCCATAGGATGGGGGCAAAAAGGTCAAGATGGCTGCTCCACTTGCCACCATCTTGGTTTTTTGGCCTATCTCTGCCAGGGTTCTCTCATGACACCAAACCTTTCTTTTTCTCCTTTATTTAAGTCTTTATATATTTTCTTCTTTATTCAGACTTTCTCTGACAGACCCAGGAGCAAAATCTTAGCTTCAGCCCCATTTCTGTACTTTCTTCAGACTGCACCCTGTATCTGAGTCTCTTTTTCCTTCATTGTTTTTTGTCTGTTGAAGCTCAGTAAGCAGAATTGTGTGAGGAACTTCCTAAAATACTAAATTAACTTTTGGGGTCATGTTTTAACCAAGGATGTCCACAGCAGTTTAAAAAAAGTCAAGAGGCTGACAGTAGCTGAGTTTTTAGATTTTTCAGGGTTTTTTTATTTTACATATTTTATATTCTTTCTAGTTTTTAAAGCTTTTTACTGTTTTTTAAAAGTAAAAGCTTAAAAATCTTTTAAAGCTTTTACTGTTTTTATTTATTTATTTAATTCTGGTAAATAAAATACTATTTTTATTCTATTCTTCCTATGCCGATCTACAACAATGATAAATATTTTACTTGACTACACCTGTATGATTGAAGCCCTACCCCCCTTTTTAATGGAGGTGTGGCCTCAATCCCGCAGGCAGAGCTGAGCTGCCATTTTGACTTCTTTGACCTCTCTTGGGTTTGGCCTTGATTTGAACAGATTAGTTTTACTAATTCAATGAAAGGGCTGATCCCATCTTGACCTTTGTGATGCCATAACATAGGGGAAGGGAATACCATATTTAGATTTTTTTTTTATGGGAAGATGTCAAAATTCAAACAGAGTAATGGGGAGGGTGTCAGAAATGGTGGCTATGATGATGCAATCATGTCTTACTTGGATCATGCATGCAGAACACATGTAAAAATGACATGTCATGTCTGCAAGAAGCCATCTTAATTTTTTTAACTCTCTACTACATCAAGGTTTCCCAGCTTTGGCCACTTTAAGACATGTGGACTTCAATTCCCAGAATTCTCAACAGTGGCTTCTCCGGCTGTGGAATTCTGGGATCTGAGATTTACACCACTGGAAGTGAATAGAGTTAGGAAACACCACCCTATATGGACATTCCCTGTACACAAACCCTGGAAAGCTCTGACATCAACACCGCTTGGCATTCTGGGAAAATAAAATGACAGTCGACAACAGCTCAGGAGTGCCAAGAAACAAACTTTAGAGAAAAGGAGAAATGGATAAAATGAATGTAATGTAACAAGGCAGCTTGACACGATGGCAGTGAATGGGTTCCCAAGAAAATGTGGTGAACAATTCTTCTCTGTCATTTTTAAATGTAAAGTAACACCCCAGTTTGACTCAAATGCTGCAAGGGGTCAATCCTTCCTTTCTTCTTTCATCTTTGCCCAGATTTGCAGATATTTCAATCTGGGTGTGCTAAAGACTCCTGAGTTCAGATTTCAGCAATCTCTCCAGATAACTGAACTTCAACTCTCAGAATGTATTGTAACAGCCTGGCTAGTTGGACCCGGATTGTGGGAGCAATAAGCTGACTTTGTAGAAACACCACTTATGGGGGGCCAAAAGCCCTAATAAGCAGGTATATACAAAAGAATGAAGGCTATTGCTATAAGTGCATTGTAAGCCGTCCTGAGTCTTCGGAGGAGGGCGGCATATAAATTGAACTAATAAAATAAATAAATAGCTGGAAATTCCTAGTCCATATGTCTTAAAGTGGCCTACTTTGGAAAACTAGACTCCTCAAATTCAAAGCAGTTCTTGACAGCTTTACCAAAGTGGTTTACCACTGTTTTCTCTCATCTAAGATTTCCTGGTGGTCTCTTTTCCAGTAGTAATCAGGGCCAACCCTTCCCAGCTTGCAACCTCAAACAAGAACTCCCAGCGATGTGAGCCGTACCGGCTGGGAGCTCTGCAAGTCATACTGGCTGGGAGACCTTGTGTGAGGATGCAAGTTATGAAGGGTTGGCTCCTTAGTACTGGAAAAAGAGACCACCAGGAAATATTAAACGAGAGAAAACAGTGATAAACCACTTCTGTAAAGCTGCCAAGAACTGCATGGATTAGAGGAGTCTAAAACAGTGTTTTTTCAAAGTAAGCCATTTTAAAACATATGGTCATCAACTTCCAGAATTTCCCAGCCAGCCGTGCTGTACTGGGGAATTCTGGGAGTTGAAGTCCACGCATCTTAAAGTGGCTAAGTTTTTTTTTTTTAATTGAAAAAGTTTTACAATTACATTTTCTCCCCAATTCCCCCCCCCCACCCTCCCTGGCCTCCCTAACCCTCCCTAACCCCCCTAACCCTCCCCTCCCCCCCAGACTTCCTCAGAATATAATCCAAATCAAAATCCCCTTTTTATAAAACTTGAACCCGTCCACCCCCTGTATATTTTTCACATCTTCACAAAATTCTATTATTCTATCCCTATATAATCTTTCAGTTAAAAGCTATCTGATATTGCCTAGTTTGATATTTATTCTGCACATAATCTACCCACTTTTTCCACTCCCATACATAAGTCTCTTGTGAGCGGTCTTTTAAATATGCTGAAATCTTCGCCATCTCTGCAAAACTGGCCATCTTCAAAGTCCATTCTTCAATAGTAGGCATAGCTTCATTTTTCCAATATTGTCCTATCAGTAATCTTGCTGCTGTTATCATATACAATATCAACTTTATTTCACCCAATGTAAAACCCTTAACTATACCCAATAAAAATAATTGTGTGAGAAAAAAACTAAATTTTTTTCTTCAAAACATTCTGCATAACCCACCAGATTTTTATACAAAAAACCTGGCTAAGGTTGACTTAGTACAATTCAGGCCTGTGGCCTCTCAGTTTTGACTTCCTTGTTAAGTCCCACAACTGCTTGGACTGCAACAGCACAACTCCACAACCCTCTTCCTCACCTGACATGCTGTCACAGATCCACAAAAGATTTTGGTTACACTCTCTGGCTTATTTTAAAACTGTGCTCCAGTGGTCACTGGATTACCAGTATTTTACAGGTTGGAAGTGCCACACACTTACCAAATTGGCCGTGCTCTGAGCTCTCCCAATCTACAGATCCATAAACTGAAATAATAATAACTTTATTGTCATTGTACGTGTATACACAGTATACCCATACAACGAAAATTCACTTAACACCCAAAGACCAGGTCCAACACACATAACAATCCCCAAACATACTCCCACCCACCACAAATTCCTCACCCCTAAACCATCCAAACATCCACACAACAGACCAAGTAATGCTGCCCAACAGCTCACTGATGGTGAAACGTTATCTATCCTGCTTGATATATAACTCCCTTCCAACTCTGTTCTTCTCTTATTCTGACCCAACGAGTTAGATTTTGCCCTATATGTTGCCTTCAAAAAAATAACCTAACCAAGATTAAAAGCTAAATGGTTGTGAGAATGGAGCCGCTGGGCTTTTTAACTCAACTTGGCTAAACAGATTCATCTTGTGAATCTGGCTAGCATTTTGCAGGGCGCAGAAGCTGCTTCCTAGCTTCTACGGAGGCCAAAAAAAAAAAAAAAAATCCAGCTCATTAGTTGTTAAATTGCCTTTGTTCATTTCCTGCGAGGCAGAATCTCTCGCTCGCTTTTTCTGTGACATTTACACAGCCCAGACAAACACATTGAAATTTTGACACCTGAGCAAGCGGCAAGCTTTTCTCTAGCCTGGAAACAAGCCTTTTGTTATCGTGTGTGTGTGTGTGTGTGTGTGTGTGTGTGTGTGTGTGAGTGTTTGTGTGATATGTGTGTGTTTGTGTGTCTATCATACACACACACACACACACACAAATGTACATCCTTTCTTACCTTCATACCTCTGCCTGCATTTCATCCCCATCTAAGGGAAATGTTTTAGCAGAGACATCTTTATAAAAACACCATGCAGGTAATCCTCGACTTACAACAGTTCATTTAGTGACCATTCAGTTCTAACGCCACTGAAAAAAGTTACTTATGTTATGACCGTTTTTCACACCAGTGACCATTGCAGCATCCCCATGGTCACGTGATCAAAATTTGGATGTTTGTCAACTTCTCGACTGGACTACTGCAATGCTCTCTACATGGGGCTCCCCTTGAGGTGCACGCGGAGGCTCCAACTGGTCCAGAATGCGGCCGCGCGGGTGATATTGGAGCGACATGGCGCTCACATGTAACACCTCTCCTACGCAAACTGCACTGGCTCCCAGTGGCCTTCCGAGTGCGCTTCAAGGTGTTGGTTCTTACCTTTAAAGTGCTCCATGGCTTAGGACCTGGGTACCTACGAGACCACCTTCTGCAACCGATAACCTCCCACCAACCAGTATGCTCCCATAGAGTGAGCCTTCTCAGGGTACCGTCACTAAAGCAATGTCGACTGGGGGAGAGACCTTCTCTGTGGGGGCACCTACCCTTTGGAACAGGATACCCCCAGGGATACGAATGATCCCAGATCTCCGTACATTCCGTCGTGAACTTAAGACCTTTCTGTTTCACCAAACCGGGCTGGCATAATTTTTTTCTAATTGTCTAAATTTTATGCTGAAGATCTTAACTTAACTGATGAGCCAAATTGTCTTAATTATTTTAAATTGCTTTTATTTCACATTTTTATATGTATGTATGTTTGACTGTTCACCGCCCTGAGTCCTTCGGGAGAAGGGCGGTATAAAAATTAAATAAATAAATAAATAAACTGGTTCATATTTACGACGGTTGCATTGTCCCGGGGGTCACGTGATCCCCGTTTTGCGACCTTCTGACAAGCAAAGTCAAGGGGGAAGCCAGATTCCAGCAACAACCGTGTTACTACCTTAACAGGTGCAGTGATTCACTTAACAACTGTGGCAAGA